AGTAAATAAAAGACCGAGGCTTGTCAATTTCCATTCTGTGATTCTGCACACTCTGACAGAGATGTCCATTGAATCCAGACTCAGCATCAAGATAAAGTAACATGATAAAAGCTCCACCCCTTATGTATTGGGTTGGCCATGGTGGTGCAGTGATTAGAATGCAGTATTGCAGGCTAATTCTGCTGACTGATGTTTGCCAACAGTTTGGCAGTTTGAATCTCACCCGCTCAAGGTTGACTCAGACTTCCATCCTTCCAAGATCAGTAAAATGAGGACCCAGATTGTTGTGGGCAATGTGCTGACCCTGTACACCACTTAGAAAGGTCTGTACCTTAGAAAGGTCTGTACTATGAAGTAGTATATAAGTCCAAGTGCTATTACTATTGCTATTTATATGCAGCGTCACAATGCAGCATAAAAAGAGCAGAATTTGCATCATAATACTATGACATAGAAGTTTCCCTACCTTCCCTGCCAGATTCCTAGGCCCTTTGATGTCCCTTTAAGTCTGTCAGGATACTCAAGCACTGTTAAAATTAAAGGTTAGCATAATACAAAGTGACCACATAAAGAAAATCTTACCGCAAGTTCTGCATTGACTGTTTCACTGGTTCATAAAAGATAGGAAATACTGCAGATAATTTTGTTCCTGTTCTCCCAACAGAAGCATCTACATTATTATTTCCTCAAATGTCTGCCATGATTGCAGGAAATATTGTTTTACTCATAGCTGCAACTGGCACAGTGCCTCGTAAGGTTCCTAAAGCTATTTTTGAAATTGTCCCTAAGGTAGAGGAATTGGTGGGCGCAGTTGGATTTATATATTCTTAAACCTGTCACTTTCTGCATTCAATTCCCATTATTAAGTTCCTAGAATAACATTTGTAGCATTGTCATTTTCCTCATACATTAACCCTTCTTCAATTGGCAGTTGCTGTCATTAGCACCTGATGGGGCTGACTTGCCTGGCTGCGGTTATTAACAAGAACATAAAGCATACTTTCACCAAATAACCTCAGTTCCTTCATACTTCATAGTTTCTAAAAGAAAGGGAGAAGGAGCTGATTTCTAAAGGGAAAAAACAGGCAGTACAAATTCTTCCACTGCCCAGAGCATTCCTTTGTCAATTATTTGTAGCAAAGGCAACATGCAGCAGATCTAGAAAATAGACTAGGTGTATGAGTTCAGGGTGGATGCAATCTTTATAGTATTAAAGTTGTAGGATGTGAAAAAGTCTCTACAGACAAAATTCTGCTCAAGCATTTTAACTCTGTTCAAACAGTCATTATATTAGACTGTTCCTAAAAATTTGCCCTGCTTTCACCTCCATCCTCTGCTGGACTCATCTTTTGGCCACCTATTGGCTCTCTTACTATTGCTTTTCATATAGATGTATCAGTTTGCTAGGTTGAAAAATCTGGATAACCACTAGATGGCAGCAGTCTTGTGAGAGCATTATCTCTTTACTAACATGCAATGGTCATCCAGATATTTTTTGCAGCTGAAATATGATAGCCTTATGCTAGGGGAGAAAAATGTCGTTTTAAAATCCAAGCCAAATGGGGGGAGGATTTAAAAAAAACTCTGTGAAGGAAAACATGACAGAGTTGGAAGGTGAAGCTAAAGATGAGTGGGGCTTTATTAGTTCTCCTCAGTGGTGGGATTCAAAATATTTTACTATCTGTTCTGTGGGCGTGACTTGGTGAGCATGGTGTGGTTTAGTGGGTGTGGGTTGTTGGGCATGGCAGGGGAAAGATACTGTAAAATCTCCATTCTCTGCCAATCAGCTGGGACTTGGGAGGCAGAGAATAGATGGGGGCAGGACCAGTCAGAGGTGGTGTTTACCGGTTCACCGAACTACTCAAAATTTCCGCTACCATTTCTCCACCCCTAGTTTTCCTGAGTCTTAAAGTAAACTTGGATTCAACTGAAAAGCTAAAAGCAAACCAAGATAACATTGAATCAAGAAGGAACTTCTAATTCAAGGAGCAGTTGTTTGTGTAAAGATAAACAAGCTCAGCTAAAATTATCTGTCAGGATTTATTCATTCTTTTATGGGTATCCATCCGATAGTTAAATGCTGTGATATTCCTGAAGTTTTTGGACCGGATATTATTGTCTCTTATTTTCATGTTCTCTGCACATGGTTAATGATTTACTTTGTTCTTTGTTTCTCTGCAGTACAGAATCTCATTACATTAGAATATTTTCAAACAAGAGCAGGCTGTTAAACCTTGCATAGTTGCTCAGCCTCTCTTATCTGAATTGCTTCAATCTTTCTGGGAGATTATTTTTAAGATTCTGGCTGTGATTTTAGTGGTGCTATAGGATTATTTTCTCCAACAGTGATTGTTTTCACAGGAGCCTAGTTAAAATGGAATGGGAAGTTTCACATCCCTTTTTAAAAAATTTTTTAATAAAGTTTAATTTACCATTAATGCCTTTTATATTATTTTGACTCCCAAGAGGGGAAGGAAACAGCTATTCTCCTGGCACACAACTCAAGCTCACATTACAGCAATAGAAGATGGCGCTACAAAATCTATTTCATGATTGTTCTTATTTTTCTTTGATTTGCCACTTTGGATTCTGGAATTCCTTTTTCTTCCATACACTGGGGTTAGGGGAAAGGGTATCCCTTCAGCAGATGAGTAGGGATAGCAAAAGTATTACAAAGGAGTTAAGGCAGGAAAATAGGTCACGCTATATTAAAACCAGAGTATTCATGGGAAGGAAAAGTAGGGAGCCATACATTCTTACGCTTCAGGCTCAGCCTTTAAGCATTAAAACTACAACATTGCTCTTTATTATTAGAGGGTTATTTTTTAATTGAAGTCTGTCTGTGTCTATGCATGTGTGTAAAATATTCCTGTCCTTCATAATACCCAATTTTTTTCAGAATATAAAATGCACCAGATTATAAAATGCACCAAGATTTTGAAGAGGCAAATTAAAAAAAAGTTTTTGCACTATGCAGACCTCCCCAAAACTACCATTTGGGGGGGGGGGGGGAATGGCCCCATTTTCCCCCCAAGAGGGCATGAATAGCATTTAGGAGGATTGTAGAGTGCTCCTGATGGTAGGGAGGCAAAATTGAGCAAAAAATGGCCCATTTTTCACAAAAACGGGCCCATTTTTTCTTTAAAAGCGGGGGCACGCATAACCTTTAGGAGGCTTATAGGGTGCTCCTGGAGGTACAAAATTGAGCCTGTTTTTTGCTCATTTCTGTCCTCCTCAGCCCCCAGGAACACTCTAAAAGCCTCCTAAAGGCTATGCATGGCCAATTTGGTGAAGGGGTGGGGTTTCAGAAGGCAAAAAATGCTGTATTCAGTGTATAAGACGCTCCCAGATTATCAGCCTCTTTTTTGAGGGAAAAAGGTGCATCTTATACTCCAAAAATATGGGTATCTTTGCTTAGGGACTCTACCTTTCTTTCTTTTTTTAGAGAATTATAAAGGCCACCCTAACTGCACAGGGACTTAAAGTGAATCCCTGTGAGGGAATGAATAAAGAGGTATTTCAAGTCAATCAAGTGAGTGAAAGTAGCAAGAACAGTGGCCTCCTATCAGCTGTAATGTTACCAACTTGAACAGAAAGGTTCAAACCATGCCCTGCTTTTTTCCCCCTCTCCAGTTCTCATTTACTCAGATGAAAGATTAATTGCCTTTGAATTTTCATTCAAAATAGAATTTTGGTAGCCAGGGTGTGTGCATGAATATTCAGTCTTTAGCACTCCAGCCACCTCACTTGCAGTCTGCAGCTTCCTTGGTCGTCCGTGTTTGAATAAAGTCACAAGGGAAGCTCTCATAAATCCAAAAAGGACTTTGGAGTGATGGGAAAAAATTCAACTGAAAACAATATCAGAAGAAGTGTCCTTGACCACCTCAATAAAAAAAAGTCACCCTCAAAAATTCAGTCAAAAATCTCAAGCATCATCAGCGTAAGAGAGAAAAATAGAAGCATTTTTGAGAGGAGCAAGGGAAGGAATCTTTTAAGGAATTGCAAGGCATCTTTAAGCATGATATTATCATAAGAGGGTCCTTATATTTGCTTCACCTAAAAGACATTTTCTTCTAATCTTGCCATCCAATATAACAAGAAGCAAACCCAGGAGATGGGGTGATGTATGTATGTATGTATGTATGTATACATACATACATACATACATACATACATACATACATACATACAAATGTTTAGATATCACCTGTTTCCTGGTGGCTCCTTGCTTTTTAAATGTGTTTAAATTAATTTTCAGCTGAAATCTGATTTTCTAAGTCTCAACTTTTCTTCTCTCACAAAACATTCTTGCCCCAGAGGTTTTTCAAGAGGCAACCAAACTTTCTCCGGTTTTTTCTTCATTTCTCATCCAAGAAGCTTTTTCAGCTACAGTTGTCTCTTGAAAAAACACCTTTGGGACAACCATGACCTGGTGACTGAGAATCTCCATAGAGAATACATGCTAGTGGTGGGATTCAAATTTTTTTACTACTGGTTCTGTGGGTGTGGCTTGGGGGCATAGCATGGCTTGGGGCATGGAAGGGGAAGTATGCTGTAATATCTCCATTCCCTCCCCACTCCAGGGGAAGGTTACTGCAAAATCCCCATTCCCTCCCGATCAGCTGGGACTCAGGAAACAGAGAATAGATGGGGGTGGGGCCAGTCAGAGGTGGTATTTACCAGTTCTCTGAACTACTCAAAATTTCCACNGGCCTTGAGTTATGGCCCTATCCTAACAGATCAATTTCCCCCCATTTTTCAAGATCAGCAAAATGCTATTATTTAACTCCGCCTGTAACCACCAGTACCAGAAAAAATGTGAATTTTCTCTTCAAGGATTTTTCCTCCATGGAGTTAATTAAATCAAAATAATACTTTAAATTAAGGTATAATTTAAAATATTGTTCACAAAAGGATATACCATAATAATGAAGTTTTACATGCTGCAAATATGTGTATTTAATATTTTTTAGTAATTCTGGAAAATGTAACTGCTAGCATTAACAGGATTTCTTATCAGAACACAAGGATATAAAGTAAAATGGTCTACCTCTAATGTATGCAAATGTAGCCAAACTGCTGCTAATTATAATTCCTTCCTTCTTTGGAATTCTTGATTCTTTTGGATCAAAATTTATATCTGTGAGAAAGAAAAAAAAGTTCCTTAATTAGATTGTAGTTGAACTAACTTTCCAAATTGAAAAGGAATATGTACTTGATAAATGAATAATTTAAATATCCTACCACAAGCAATTACCTTCTTTAACATCTCCATATTTCCAGGTGTCCAATAACACATTTTATGCATTAAAGCAAAATTAATTTTAAATGTCTATTTTACTTTATTATATAACACAACTCATAAATACATGAGAATGTGCTTTAAGATAATTTGTTTGTTTCCTGTTTCCCCTGGGAATTTTTTAGCACTGTTGATATCAAGAAATAAATAAGAGGTTTCTTTCCACAAAACATGTTCTTAGCCAGAGGTTCCCCAGGCCATGGCCCACTACTTGTGTGGCCCAGTTCCCCTCTATCCTAGCCACAAAGGTTGGGGATTGCTGTTCTAAGCTATGATTCCCACCAGCTAGAAATGAGAAGAATTACGTCTTTAACCTAATAATTAAGTGATGAGTATTTTATTTATTTATCAGTTCTGCAATAAAGTTTTGTTCATGTGATAAACAACAAAGTCAGTTTAGTCTTTAATTAGTTTAGCTTCAACTTCTATTTGGCTCTGTCCATTTCTTTGTCTTCACCTCATCACTTTTGTGTGTGCTGTTTGTGGTGTGCTACACCATTCATAAGGAAGTGAACATTGGCCCATCCAAAGTTCCATGAAGAGAGACCCCTCCTCTTCTAGGTCAAATGCTTAAAGGCAAATGTCCGTAGCAAAAAATTACATTTACCATATTCATCTTCTTTTGGCTTCCAAGAGGGAGGGAGTATGGTAACCATTGGATTAACTGCTGCCAGTATGAATCTTGGGACTGTAAAGTTGAAAATAAAAAAAAGATTATCTATTAATTTTAAAACATATATCCTGCTTCTCCTTCAGACAAAACTGAAAAATTTGATAGCAGCTTTTTTCTTTCACACATCACGTTTTAGAAGTCAATCAATCAATCAAGAATATTTATAAAGAGAAGTCGACAAATATGCCATGTTGAATTGGTGGCTTTTATGGATTGCATTGCTGCTTCACTGCCAATCATAAACTAACTGAAAATATATGAAAGTTCAATAATCAACAGGCCAAATTCCATATGACCTTTCAATTATTACCTGACTAATTTCAAAGCTATGATCATCCAAGAAGAATTTGGATCAGTCCAACAAACATATTTAGATTTCTGCCAATGTGTTTTCTAGTCAAATTATATAAATTGTAAACCAAATTATTATCATACCTCTCTTAGATATTAAAATAGTGGAATAATATGAATTTTACATATTATATGCAAGATGCCCAGATTTTGAAATGTTGCGATTTGTGAAATTTATGATTCCATACTTTTCTTACCACATGCATAGCTGACATTGAGATATTTTTTCACCCCACGCATGCATGGTCTTCCAAAGTTATGACTGTTAGCAATAATTTTACACCTTTGCTTTCCGTAGCACTTCTTTGACAAGACTTCTAAAGCTGAATAGGAAAAACAATCTGAAAGGAGAAAGAAATATGCACATATAAACAAAAATGATTTATCTGAAGAGATTACTGGTACCTGCTTGCAGAGATATAAATCTATTGGTACAGGAATAACACTAACTCAGAAAGCCCAACTAAATATAGATATTACTTCTGATAAAGGCCAAGAAGAAGTGATCATTTACATAATTTCCAAGAATTTGTGGTTGGCTGTTTGCAGTGATGGTATAAAAATGTATGATCAAGCCAATTATGT